TATCTATTTATTGATAAGTTACTGACTGGACGCACGTTAGGCTTGCAGTGAGGTGTCAGTTGCGTCGGTGGCACAGTGGTTAGGACTCTCGCCGACCATGCACATGGTCCGGAGTTCGATCCCCTGCCGGCGCACACCCGATATCTATGGTCGGCCTGAATTTGGGCAACCGATATCCATGCTGAAAATTCCATAATTGTACTGAAAATACGGTGTGGCATCAAGCTGTAAATCAAAATAAAAAATACCTTTGATTTTAGTGCGGGGATCTTAATAAACAAGTCACTGCTCTCATATTAAGACACCACTTTGCCCCAAAGGGTCATCTGGATCCCTCACATGTTATCAGTCATTCTAAAGAAGTATTGAAAATTGAAAGATGCTACTGTGTCTAAAGTGTAAAAGAAGGAATGCTTGTCTAGCCCATCACTTCCAGTATGACAATTATCTATAGGAAACTATCCATTCGAGTATGTTAGGGTAGATTTATTCTGACCTTTTGTGGTAAAAGGCATGGAAGCTTGTGAGAGAGATACGGTTGCCTATTTACTTGTTTGAAGATAAAGGTCATGCAAACTTAAATGTTTGACACAAAATGCCAGTTCGTTTATTCCACTGTTACTAGGGCTTATAAACTGCGGAGGTACACCGAATATAATGCTCAGTGACAACCATACCGTGACCGAGGGATGTTTTCAGCGTCCCGAGATTGAGATTCATGAAGAAATGCTGAAGAGGAACATTGAGTTGCACTTCAACTAACCACAAGCCAGCAACAGAGGTGGGCTAAGGGAAAGACTCGTAATAATAATAATAATAATCTAACGTGTTTCATGTCCCATAATCGAAAGCAAAAGCTTGACAGACAAAACCCTGGAGATATTTCTAAGCGAAGCCTTGAATTCTAAACCACCTGCTGTTATCTTTTGTAAAGGATCATATTAAGGACTTCAACGTGTTAACTTCAAATGAGCTGTTGTCACTGAAAGGTACTCCAGGCATAGGAGGCTTGAGTATAGAACAAAAACGTTAGCTAGTGAGAGTGAGAACGGTGTAATTTATGTATGCCTTTCGCTGAGTATGTTATTACACTCCCTGCTGGATGGAGGTGGTTAGTACAAACAACCCGTAAGTATAGGTTTATTCAGCTCCAGTGATCATAGTCAACGGCGGTCTGCATATAAAAGCTGATATACTTGGCGCTAAATCTTCTTTCAGGACTGGTCTATTATTTACTAGGGTAATAGATAAACACTGGCTACATGGTTTCAGTTGGCGGACAATATGAAATACTCCGTAATTGTCGTCTGTGTACATGTTTTTAGAATCACTAACCACTATCGTTGAATCACAAGAGGACTTTTGGTAGGCATGTGAGGTTGCATACAGGTGTTACTAGTCGTCTGAATGGAGTTCGCAATGAAAGATACGTGTGTGGACGCTGTCAATTATCGTCTTAGGAATACGTCGTGTCCTGGTTGTGGACTGTTCGCTTTAATAGCAAGGAATTTATCTAATATCACACGTTCTATATGCCTGATCCTTTGTGTTTCTCTTAGGTTGCGCTTCTTAATGTCAAAAATATGTTCTCTTTTTCTTTATTTTGTTTTTTCTCGGCTACTGAAAGAGGCATTACTAATTGCAATCTGCAATATTTTATTCTTTAGCCTTGATAGCTGCACCAGGACACCTTATTATTTCATGACTAGATCTTCACCTAGTGGAGGTAACTGTTGTGTAGTTTTATCGCCAACTCCCATACCGGTTCTGGAAACCCATGTAATTTATCCCATCTCTGACATTTTGTCACAGTCCAACACTTAATCTCTTGTTGCGAAACCAGGAAAACATGATACTTCACCTCCTTCTATAGGAAGCCAATGTTTCACACACATAATAACTATAAAAACGCTCAAGATGTTACTAGACCTCGCAGGCGTTTTCTAGAAAAGTTGAAGACTGTAGTCTTGTAGAGCTCTTCAGGTTAATCCACCTTCATAAAGGGTGATACTGAACACTGCCAAAGACGCTGAAAGGGCACTATCACTGTCACAAATACTAACTGTTGATTAGAGACAGGCCGTGGGCAAACAGACGAGTGTCCGTGCAATCAGCTCCCAGAAGTTGCTGGCTATAGAACTTTAGCAGTGATGCAGACCAAGGGTGAAATTAGAAGATACATCCGAAGCTGCGAAATCTGATGTTGAACCCTAAGGAGTCAGCAGACTGGGGTCACAATACGTCTTCATGCCTCAGTGACACTGCAACAGTGCACTGCTAAGAACGGCAACCAGCGTAACCCAAGTGTCCTTACTGAATGCAGTTAGTTGCAAAATTAACTCCTCAACCAGCAGTCTAAAAAGCATCAACCGCCTCACAATTCGGCGAGGTGGTAAGGCTCATTGCCTTCTGCCTGTATAGCAGTGCAAGAGGGCTGAGAGCAAAACTACGCGAACTCAGAAACCTCCAGTCACACCTACAACTAAAAACAATTGTCCAAACCAAAACCTAGCTAACCCGAATATCACCAAGAATGAAATCAGTATAAATGATATGGTTCCCGTCAGACGAGACAGATGACAAGGAAGGGGGAGTTGCTATATACCTGGACAAGCAGTTGAGATGCGTATGTGCACCGAACCCACCACTCGCTGAACTCCCAGACTCCATATGGTGTCATTTAACCGTAGGCCACACCAAACACTTACTTGGTAGCATCTACCGATCACCCACCTGTGGGGTAGAGCACAACCAGCTACTGCTCAGCACTATTACAGGGATACGAGACTTGGGCTATGACCAAATCACCATAGCTGGAGACTTCACTGCCCCTTTCCTAAACCTTGGATCGTGGTATGCTCAGGGAAAATTCGGTTGAAATCTATTACAAAACCACTTGAAATACATGACTGACTGGAAACATTGTAGACGACACTAAGTGAGGACCTAGTTAAAAGCCACCAGAACTGGATTATATCTCGACTACTCACCAGTTACTGGTGGAAAAGGCTTGGTCTACACGGAAATTCCGCAGAAGTTAGACCGTCCACAACGAATACCTGGAACTCAGTCAGAAGTGACAGGACATTTCAGACAAATCTTGCCAGAAAACACCTAGGAACCCCGAGTACCTGTATCGCATCATGTCGGAGAGAAAACGAACCGGCTAGATGGCATGGGCCTTAGTAGGTTCGAGTGTTCAATATCCCACTAGTTTGAAAATGGCTAAATCATTCATTTCAGCCTTTAAAAGAGGACTAAACGGCAATATGAGCGTTACCGGTGTTGAAGATGGAGACTGTATTGCTGTTTCACTAGAAGGCGACCCATTGGCTATTCAGCAAATAAAACCGTCAATGGTGCTAAAGAAGCTACAGAGATTCACATCTGAAAATTTCCCAGAGTGATACGACATTCCGCCATCTGTACTCAACAGTGCTCTGAGGCCCTCTGTAGGCTGCTATGCGAATTGTTGCAACACTCAATGGATTCAGGGACACAGCCTGCTACTGTTTTCAAGGGTGGGGATAGACAAAATACAACCAGCTACATACCATTAGAGTTACTCTCAGTGGTATCAAAAGTACTGGAAAGTCTAATTGGTGAATATGTCAGAGTACACCTAGACAGGACTAATAAACACAATGACTAACAACCTAGGTTCAGGAGAGGCAGACCATTTTTAACAGACCTACTATCAGCTCAGGACGATTGGACATAAGGTTGGGATATGAATGTTTCTAGTCCATGTGGTTTCCTAGACTTTGAGAAGGCATTTGACCCAGTTCACCGTGACCTTCTTCTACACGGAATAATTTCGGGCAGATACAGGAAAGCCACTTCTGTCATGGTCGAAGGACTACCTAGATGAAGGGAAATTCTACACTAAGTTCAGTCGTGTCCGATCAGCCTGGAACAGCTCGTTTTCCAAAATGTCACAGCGTTCCATCCTCCGACCACTGATGTTTCTGGATTACTATCAATGACCTACCAGGCCGTCTAAGCTGCCCAACTCTTTCATAAATGACAACGTAAAGATATGGAGGGCAAAACAGTGTTCGGAAGACTCAGATAGTCTACAGGCAGACCTAAAGCTTCTGCAAGACAACGCGGTGGCCAATGGCATGACTTTCGACCTGGAGAAGCGCAAATTAGGGAAAATACGCACCTGTATAGTTTCAGAATACAAATTACAGTCATTGTAGCGACAGCTTGTCCTACACAACGTCGGAGCGTGACTTAAGTATAGTTCTAACGGAAAAAATAGACACAAGCGTAAATTACACGGGGATGTAGCGAGGGCATATGCGGTCATACACTTTACACATAGACAGTTGGGTGCACTCATTTCAGAGCTCTTTCTAAGGTTATACAAAACATACGTCAGACCACACGTTGAAGTGCATAATATTATTCCACCCCCACTGCTTAGAAGAGACGCGAAGGTTTCGGAAAGAGTCCGGAGATGGGCGCATGGGTTTCCTCGTGGGATTCTAAAAAGCATAACTCAAAAGGGGGAAAATATTCGAGTGGGCTCCCATATGGTTTCACTGCTAGTTTGCCGTCGCTGGAAATCTCTGCCGGCAGATATATATATAAATATATCTAATTCAAATTTCATTGGTCGTCTCTTTTTACGTTTAATCCCCTTTTATTTTTATGTCTACATAACCTACACCAATTATGTATGCTTTTATCATCTCATTTTCTTCGATGACACCAGACGAAAGGATAAACTTCATTCACAGTAGAAACATGGTCTAAACACACCGCATACTACAAACAACATATAATCAATCCTATCACTACTCTTCCTGGAGCCAACTGAAGCTGTGACAATCGAATGGCGGCACAAACTACGCAGAAGCTTACCGAAGACCAGGAACCTGCACCTCACAAACGCGAAGTGAGCACACAGGAATCGAATTGGTTTACACTGGCCAGTAAAAAATGATACTGAATATTGATGATTTCATCACATTTATTCGTAAACGTTTGGTATGTCAGATGAAGAGGTGGATAGGAGAGGACCAACACGTTTACATTAATATATTAAATCTCAAATAGATTTTGAATCTATTGAGCGCGGCATCGGGGCTTAAGGTAAGCAGCGCGCATTCCAAAAGATTTTCTGCAGCTGAGGTTATCTCGTTCTCCGTATTTTTGATCTTACTACGAACAACTTCCTACATATCGTGCTTAAGTTCGACAATATTACCATTGAAGTCAGTTTCTGAAGGTAATACATCTCACTTTTTGCTTAAAAATACTAACCGTCATAATGCAAATTAACTTCCAATATAGTTTTTACGAGCTAGTATAAACCACTTTAATTTCTTTGTGCTCGCCTCTTGATTGTGAGGTATAGGTTCCTGGTCTTTGGTAAACTTCTGCGTAGCTCGTCCCACAACTCGATTATCGCAGCTTTGGTTGACTCCAAAAAGAGTGGTACTGGGATCAACTATATGTGGTTTGTAGTATGAGGTGTGTTAAGACTTTGGTACTAATGTGAATGGAGTTGATCCTTTCACCAGTTAGCCCTCCGGTATCGTCGTCAAAAGAAAAGAGATAACAATAATAATAGATATAACTAGTGAAGTTATTCAGACTAACAGACAGAAAAAGAAATAAAGAAAACTTAAAACAGACAGCCGATTGAATTTGAAGTTGATATATGTATTTATATATATCAGTAATAATAATAATAAGTGTGGTTAGAGTTGTCAGGAGAGTAAGACGGGAGAGAATGTAAAGAAGTGAAACGAACTTAGTTGTCTACCCATGAATGGTGCCTGGTATTTTATGGAAATAGGCCATTTGGACGCAGTCCCTGTGTCGCTGCATGAATGTCCAGCCTTCGCTTGAAGGTGTCCACAGATGGTGCTATAGCTACATCTACCAGTAAGGAGTTCCAGGGACCGCAAACGCGCAGTGAAAAGAAGTAAGAGTGCACCTAGGTCCTTGCCCTCTGGTGAGCTATCCTTCTGGAATTTCCACAAGGAAACCCATAGCTGCTTAATGACAGAACACCTTTGTCTGGGTGATTCTGGTCATATGTTATCTTGTTAGCAGTAATCGAATCCCTCCTAATTCGACGATAGCTAAGTGTGAACAGGCCAAATCTCTTTAGCCTTTCATCATACAGTTTATTTTGGAGACCAACCACTCCTTTTGTCACCCGTCTCCGGACTCTTTCCGAAACCTTCGCGTCTCTTCTAAGCAGTGGGGGTGGAATAATATTATGCACTTCAACGTGTGGTCTGACGTATGTTTTGTATAACCTTAGAAAGAGCTCTGAAATGAGTGCACCCAACTGTCTATGTGTAAAGTGTATGACCGCATATGCCCTCGCTACATCCCCGTGTAATTTACGCTTGTGTCTATTTTTTCCGTTAGAACTATACTTAAGTCACGCTCCGACGTTGTGCAGGACAAGCATTATAGTGTCAGTGAAGTCAGGAGTAATGATAATTAAGTGCTGAATTTGCACGTTTTCTCCTAAAGAACAGTGTTCATTGCAATTTTCCGCATAACCCACTTTAGTTTTGCTATTCAACTACCATTTAATTCATTATTTAAGTAATGTTTTTCTCTTTCGGCCCATATGTGCCCATTATATTACCCGTCCTACCATTTGCCCAAAATCAACCCAGTTTCTACAATTTTCTGCTCATTTTTGTCCAACTGGGTTACATTTTGTTCCACTTTATTGTGAAGTGATTATATCTTGTGCTTTTCATCTAAATGAATGTTACGTTACTCGAGTAATACGTATTGATGAGAAGCTGCAATACCAAGATACTTCTAAGAATGTAGCCAAAACTTAACGTGAATATTATAAAATGCAACGAATGCATATATTACTAATGCCAATTCTAGAGATTTATTATCACTTTTGACCTGTTTCATAATTGCATGTGCCTCCTACGTAGTCATTGCTGCCGTTTGCTGTCGGTTCGCTTCAATTCATGCCTCATTTTTATAAGTAAATCAGATCGAAACAAAACAAATTGTACTGGCTACAGGTAACTACCCACTAAGTAACCCTGAAAGCTGACAAGATAATTTTGTTTTGTGGCGATCTTTCTGATTGTTGACTGCGGCCGTCGTGTGTCACATAGGATACCAAACAGCCGTATCATTATGTCGTTTGCTTTCAGCGACTTCAACAATTGCCAGTAGTACACTTTGGTTCTTTTTCATTTTAAAGCTAGCAGTGACCCCTAGATAATGCCGTCGCGTCAAAATGATAACTCATTATTTTAAGATCTGTAAGCTGTGTATAAGAGCAAGTAAATACACTAGCTGAATATTTCAGACAAACTCCTAGTATCATCTAGTGCTTCTTCATTATGTTCAAATGTACCAACCGAAAAAACAGTGAAAATCATACGACCGCACTCTGAATCGGTCCTTGAAAATGAGTTGAGACAATTATTGCTGCTTTGTACAAAGAAAGTGCAGTTCTGATTCAATAACCAGCGATACTGGCTGACTGAAGTGGCTATGAGTTCGCCTATCTTTACGAGCCTTGAACAAGTGCCACAGCTCAAAGTTAGATAAGTCCACATATTACTGCAAGTATGTTGACGACACGATCGCTGTTCTCAGTAATGTGGACTATGCATTGATGACGTTTGCTAAACTCATTGTAGCTCATCTTCACACTGAGTTTACAATGGATTATTAACGCGATAACCAGTTCATCTTCTGGATCGTAGCATAAAGCGTAGAAAAATAGTGAGCTCACTGAAAAGTCATTGTGTTCAGAAAATAAGATTGATGATGAGCTCACGATTATTGAAAGTAATGTGGTGGAAAATGGATTTCCCAAGAATTTCATAATGAAATGAGGGAGAAAAAGACGTCCGGAATGAAGTATAAAAGGATTAAGATGAAACTAGCCTGGCGTACAAAGGGGAAGACGCATCAACAAGAATAAAAAAGAATCGAAAGTCTATTGAAAATGACATTTCACGCCACTAAACTGATTTCTTTTTGTAACACGAAATGTCCAATGTAAGTTAGTGTCCTAATCATGTCAACTCCAATTATATTTACCAGTCCAAACGTAATTGCGGTAGCAAGTACATAGAAAGGACTGGGAAGAGAGCGTCTTCTAGGTTTTCTGAGCATGTTCCCAACAGTTTTCGTATGGAAAGTATACGTGTTTGCAAATGCAACTGCTTATAGCCTGATTAACTTGCGACATTTAGTCGAAATCCGTCAAGCCTTGAAAATAATCAATATTCAGAGAAACCTTAGTTAATTCGATCCACATTAGTCACTGCCACCGAGAGACGTCAGCATAATTTCTGTATGTAAAAAGATAGGGAGACTATTATGCGTAGATTTTTATTTTGATAGAGTCTCACAGTGTTATACAGTAATATTTACTGGTGACGTTTCGAGCACAATTTATTGCTCATAATCATATCAAGGTAATCACACGACTTCCTAAATTCATTTAAATAGTTCCATTGTTTTTCACTTGATTTTCACTTGATTTGATTGGTAGTATTATTTTCCATATTTCAGGTACGAGTGATGATTCATTCCTATTGCACGTGTTGGGTGTAGATTCGATGAACAAAGATTCAGTAATCAACCTCTCTCTCCACCTACCTAGATTAGAATTTTAACCCTCTCCCACCCTATTGTGTGGTTGTGTGTTAATGCATGCATTGCAATTGCCGAGCTTTTTTAAATTACTTATCTTCTCGGGGTCAACCATTCTTACCTTAGCTAAATTCTTATGTTCTGACAATCTGACTACCCCTGACCTACTAGTTTGACCTATGTAGTTGACCTCACAGTCATTGCAGGGTATTTTGTAAATTATATTATTTTGTCTAATTGGGTCCACTGGGTCCTTTAACCTACAGAGCTTGTCCCTGAGTGAGTTTGTAGGTTTAAATGCCACCCTAATTCCTGCTTTATTTAGAATCCTACGTAGGGTCTCAGATGTCCCCTCTTTATATGGTATAACTGTAGATGACTTATATTCTCTCTTATTTATTTTATTACTACTAGTTTCACAATTCTTTTTATTTTTCTTTTGGCGTTTTTCAATCTTCCTAATGAATTTTAGAGGATAGTTATTTAAAACCAACGCCTCTTCTATCTGTTTTATTTCATCATCAAGGTCTTTTTTTGTGCTACTTAGTGCCATTGCTCGGTTTGTTAAACACTTAACCAAGCCTGCCTTAACATTTAAAGGATGAGATGAATTAAAGTCTAAATATCTATTAGAATGCGTTGGTTTTCTATAAACACTAGTGTGTAGTTTGCCTTCTTCTATTCGTTTTATTTTACAATCTAACATAGCTAATTCTCCTTGTTCATTTTCGGCTTCAAATGTGAATTTTATTCCCTCCACTAGTGAGTTTATGTGTGTCAAGAAGGTAGAGATATGTTCTGTTTTTAACACTGTGAAAGTGTCATCCAAATATCTCCCGTAGATACAATAATGAATAAGGTTAAAAAATCCACAGCAGAAATAGTACGCAGAATGAAGTTGTCACTGGGTGAATCAAAATGGTTTAATTTAATGCCTAATAATAAGCTAGTAGGATGTATGGTACTATTAAAATACATAAGCCAGGTTATCCCATAAGACCAGTAGTAGATTTCAGAAATACCCCTACATATGAATTATCAAAACATTTGGCTCTAATATTATGTCCCATTAGAAATCGTTCAAATTCTAGACTAACTAATTCATATGAGATGAAAAATAAACTAAATGACATACAACTAGATAATGATGAAACAATGGTTAGTTTTGATATAACCAGTCTTTATACTAATATACCAGTCACTATGGCCTTAGAAGCAGTTAAAAAAGAACTAACTGCGGATCCTGAACTCAATCATAGGACAAAGCTGTCCATTGAAGAAATTATTTTAGGGATTCAGCTATGCCTCACATCTACTATATTTAAATTCCAAGGCAAAATATATAGACAAACTGAAGGTGTAGCAATGGGACACCAATATCACCTATCATAGCAGATATATTTATGGATAGTTGGGGAAATATGGCACTTAATACGTTTAATCCTACTCCAAAAATATGGTGGAGATATGTGGATGACACTTTCACAGTGTTAAAAACAGAACATATCTCTAGCTTCTTGACACACACAAACTCACTAGTGGAGGGAATAAAATTCACATTTGAAGCCGAAAATGAACAAGGAGAATTAGCTATGTTAGATTGTAAAATAAAACGAATAGAAGAAGGCAAACTACACACTAGTGTTTATAGAAAACCAACGCATTCTAATAGATATTTAGACTTTAATTCATCTCATCCTTTAAATGTTAAGGCAGGCTTGGTTAAGTGTTTAACAAACCGAGCAATGGCACTAAGTAGCACAAAAAAAGACCTTGATGATGAAATAAAACAGATAGAAGAGGCGTTGGTTTTAAATAACTATCCTCTAAAATTCATTAGGAAGATTGAAAAACGCCAAAAGAAAAATAAAAAGAATTGTGAAACTAGTAGTAATAAAATAAATAAGAGAGAATATAAGTCATCTACAGTTATACCATATAAAGAGGGGACATCTGAGACCCTACGTAGGATTCTAAATAAAGCAGGAATTAGGGTGGCATTTAAACCTACAAACTCACTCAGGGACAAGCTCTGTAGGTTAAAGGACCCAGTGGACCCAATTAGACAAAATAATATAATTTACAAAATACCCTGCAATGAATGTGAGGTCAACTACATAGGTCAAACTAGTAGGTCAGGGGTAGTCAGATTGTCAGAACATAAGAATTTAGCTAAGGTAAGAATGGTTGACCCAGAGAAGATAAGTAATTTAAAAAAGCTCGGCAATTGCAATGCATGCATTAACACACAACCACACAATAGGGTGGGAGAGGGTTAAAATTCTAATCTAGGTAGGTGGAGAGAGAGGTTGATTACTGAATCTTTGTTCATCGAATCTACACCCAACACGTGCAATAGGAATGAATCATCACTCGTACCTGAAATATGGAAAATAATACTACCAATCAAATCAAGTGAAAATCAAGTGAAAAACAATGGAACTATTTAAATGAATTTAGGAAGTCGTGTGATTACCTTGATATGATTATGAGCAATAAATTGTGCTCGAAACGTCATCAGTAAATATTACTGTATAACACTGTAAGACTCTATCAAAATAAAAATTTACCCTTAATGGAATTACACTCTACCACAGTGCCCAAGTTTTATTCTTTTAGGGAGACTAGTTTCGCACTGCCCTGATAACTAGACGTCTCTGCTCTATTTCTTTATTTCAACTGCGTCACAATATATTTTTTTCATACATTTGGTTCCCTTGATAAATTTCGATAGAGAAATCTGGTCTTTCTTTCTCTATCGAAATATATCTTTTTGCTTATAACTCACAAAGCCGAAATTATTATTGATCTTCAGTTTACTTAATTGTTTGTATGTGTAATAATTTTACTTTGATCATCTCCCATTCCCACTGTCTCCTCTCAAGTATTCCATTGCACTGGGAACAAATAAACTCTGGTTGTTAGATTATTAGCTATCTCGTATTCATATACCTTGTTCCATAACTATGCTCTTTGCTTCCAAATAATTTTTGAAGAATGTTATATATTTTTGCATTTTCAATAACTTATGTCAATTTTCAGGCTATTGGCAGCTGAAGAGATACAGTGAATTAACAAATGGAATCTTTTTATTCTGTAAATATTTTCGTTCTCTCTGTTGAAGTTAATGCATTTGTATTTGTTGCATGTAGCTGGAGAGAAACGGACGAAATAAAGTGACGTCAACATACTTCACGCAAACCGTAATTTTTGCTCTATTTGATGAGCAGGCGGAAATATGTAAAGTTTCAAGATAAACAGTCCTTTCTTCACCAACAAAGATGCTTTACATAATATCTTAAACACTTTCATTTCTTTGAATGTATTTATTTAATTTAGATTTGGTGTCATTGTCAATAACTTCTACGCAGTTGCTACCACGTATGGGTTGCATCTGGAAGTAACCAATGGATTTTACCTGCCCAATATGCCTCAACATCCTGTTCCGACCAGTTTGCCTTCCCTGCCAACATCAGTTTTGCAGGGACTGCATAGTTCAGTCAATGAACTGTGCTGCATTTCAGTGTCCCATTTGCAGATATAGACTTTCGAACTGGCTACGTAAAGTAAAAGACATAGATCTAGTGGTTTCACGAAAAACAGAAGATGAAATTCGAAACCACTTCCCAGATTATTATGCTGCGAAAGAACAGGGACTGTCTCCTTCGTCGGAACTTGTGGTGGAACATATGTCAAGTTCAAACACAGGTATGCTTTTGCTTGACTTAGGTGAAAATGTCAACTTCACTTATTGATATCTTTATGTGTATTTAAGATCAAAATTAATTTTGAAGAATATTGGTTTCTCTGAAGTCTAACTACTACATCTGAATAAATTCTATCTGCTTATATTCCTTGTCATATTTTGTAGATCCCGTTCCTGAATGTTCTGCACAACCAGGTGACGTGCATGAATATTACGTTAAAGAGGTTGAGAAATACTCTCGTTTGCGCTCCTTGGAAGAAAAAGAAAACGAAGAGGCTTCGCTGGCTCTTGCAGCTCAGCTTCTGTATGAAGATGGCTGTAGTTTAACAGATGATATTCTGATATCTGGTAAGTCTTGACTTCAACTTAATATCTAAGTAAACACTAGACGAACATGTTGACAGTTGTCGTCACATTAACAACGACCGTTACCAAGCGTTGTCATCTTCTAAAGCTAGAAGCGTTGAAGCAGAACACAAGAAAAAACTGGGCAACAAAGCACCTAAAATTTGCAAGACATTACTGGATTACGCTGTCGACACTTTAAGTGCAGGAACGAAGCCGGAGGAACAGGTAATTCCCACTAAAAGTTTCTATGGCTCTGTTTCCTCATGCATTAAAAGATAAGCTTACTGATAATATCCAAAAACAGATAATCATGCTATTGCCAGGATGCATTTTCTTTCGATTATCTGAGTGGTTTAATATTTTGACATTAGTAAAATCTGTATTTACTAAGACCGAAGAAATATATCTGTGCTTGATGAGACTACTACGTACTTGTAGAGATGTAATCAAGTCTATAGACTCATTCACTCACTTAATTAACGCATACTAAGTTGGTGTAACTAAAGGTGATTCGAAGAAAACAAAGTAGTTTGGTGGAGATAAAACACTTGTCCGAAAAGTCACTGGTTGTTGGTCAGATTACTGTGACTGTTTCAATAGTTGTATTACTGTAGTACAGCTAACTCGTTGTGCAGTCAAAGGAATTAAGCTGGAGTAATAATAATTGAACTGTAGACCTTAATGGCTGTTAGTGTGACCGAGTAGTCACTGCTCACACTAACTACAACTAAATTGTTGAAAAATACAAAATAACTATTGATCAATGCATTTATTATCAGAATCCTTTGTCGGCAGTTAATAAGTTGTTGTTTGTAGACGAAAGTATGACCTAGGTTATTTGAATGCAGAATACTTAACAGAAAACATGTCGTCAATAGTGTGATTTGAAAGGTCATCAGTAAGCCAACAGATCTTGCCAATAGGTGCGAAACTGTCCCATAACATAAGGCAGTATGATCTACCGATTTCATGTCACGCTTAGAACCGTTGGTTTAAGACGTTTTTCTGTATGGTACATTACTCATCACAGTAGAGCAGATGCATTCATATTATTAGCACTACATTACTACTATCCCTCTCCCATATCCTTTCGTTGTTTTTCGTTTATGTGATTTTCATGTCGATATTCTCCACTATCTTCTACTTGACTTGAGGTGTGGCAACTTGTACCTCAATGCAGAAATGTTAGATTCAAATTGTTAAGGCATTCGACAATAGTTTTCGGATAGTCATTATTTTTAATTGTTACGTTTATCACTTAAGATAGTATGATTAAGAAAAATTCAAATTTGTATAGGCCCTACACTCTATTTTCTTCAGATCTGTGCTAGCTGTATTTCCTGACAAAACAGTATTATGTTCCTGAGTAAACTATTGTATCGACACTGCACTAAAAATTCTACAGTAAATTATCATATGTTTAAAAAATCGTAACAACTATGTGAACCAGTTGGGAACGTGAATAATAGATGCTACAAGTTACTGTTAAAGTGTTGTAGTAAAATTGTTATGCACTGCCATAGAACAATATTAAAAATGCCAAGCTTTAAAAAGAACTTAACAGTATTAGTTCAAGCAAAATAAACAATAGATAAGACTTAGTGATAATGACAATAACAAAACTGATTTACTACGTCATGAACCACAAACAGAGTGAAAATTTTATGTTACTACTCAGTCTTCGAGAATGACACGATCTGGTCCTACGAGACTTTCGAGCTTGAAAATTACACTTGACTGGTCTCCAGCTTGATATAAACATTAACCATGCATTGTAGCACATACGTGCAACCCAAGTGTATCATTTTACTGTGAGGGTTCTGCATCACAATACCCGGTGAGCAAGCCATTCATCGTCCGCCTTTAGCATATGTGTTAAACTGGGGCACTGAGTTGGTATGTAATTCCACATTAATTTGTTTATTAGATACATCACACAGTAAAACAGTATTATTTACTGGATGACGTTTCGAACACAATTTATTGTTCATAATCATATAAATTATAATCACACAACTTCAAAACTTTCGTTTTAGAGTCTTCTTTATCCTTTCCTACTTGTCGTAGAGGTAGTGGAATTTTCCAGATAACTGGGACAGGTGTTTAATTATTCCCTATTACACCTGTGTGTGTTTTCAGTTGCTTCGATAAATAAGGCTTTTATCATCAATTTCTCTCCCCACCTTGTTACATTAGATTTTAAAACTGTCATACTATCCCATCCTATTGTATGGTTGTGTGTAATTGCATGTATTGTTATAGTTGAACTATTCTCCGGATTTCTTATCTTATTAGGGTTAACTAGTCTTGATTTTGCTAGGTTTTCGTGTTCCTCTAGTGTGACTAACCCTCTTCAACTATTTTGACCTATGTATTTGACCTGAAAATCATTGTTTTGTTTATCTCTAACTGAATTTATGGGTTTGAATGCCACTTTTATTCCTGCCTAAAGGTTTCCGAGATTTTTTCTTTGTATGGAAGTACTACTGATGATTTAAATTCCCTATTTCTGGTGTTGTCATTATCCTGCATGCATGTCGTCATCAATATTATTATCACTGATTTTATTTTTACATTTTCCTACAGACTTCCTTATTTATTTATCACGGTAATTATTAAGTGTCGAAGCTTCTGTTATATGCCTCACTTCCTGTCTTAGATTTTCCTTGGTACTACTTAGTTTTTGTGCTCTGTCACTAAAACATTTCACCAATCCTATTTTTACTGACATAGGGATGATCGGAAATCCAGATATCAGCTTGGATGTGTGGATTACCTGTAAACACTAGTATTTAACTTCCCACCTTTTTCCCTTCTCATTTTGGAAGCTCCCCTTTCTGCTTTCCAATTCATAAGTGAATTGAATTGCCTCCACCTTCGAGTTGATGTATTCGGAAAATCTGTTTACGTTCTGTATTCTAATTACGGTGAATGTGTTATCTAGATACTTCCACCATACTTTTGGAGTGGGGCTGAATGTTCCAATCGCTTAAGTTACCCACCTATCCGTGAATGTATCTGCCACAATCGGGGATATTAGTGACCCCATTGCAACTCCCTCAGTTTGTTGATATATTTGCCCTTGGAAATTAAGTAATGCGGAGGTCAGGCCTAGATGCACTCCCAGCATTATGTCCACTAGGCGTACTTTTCTTCTAAGCTGAAGTTCTTGGTCAGAAATCAGTTCGTATCGGACTGCCTCTGTAGCGATATTAATCGGTATATCCATAATGAACTGAAAATGTCAAAACTAACTATTTTTCCTCACTATCTAATTTTAAATTAATGAAAAAAAACGTAGTTCAGCGAAGAGTCTCTCTTTTCGGCGAATTCATTTTCTTAGCTGTATAACCGCAAATATATATGTGTTATTTTGTATGTATGTGTACATTAAGTTTGTCAAAAAAATACAATTGGTTATGGTTATTTTAACTAAACAGGTGAAGATTGGTAATTGGACTTACGTAATATAAAATCAGTCAGGAAAATTGGGTGTTAATGGAACCAGGGTAGTAACAAAGGTGATGAGTTGTCACAAACAGTTGTTAAAAAGAAGTTATGTAATAATATGAATAGTTTGATGATTGAGTTTTACTCAGGATATACATAGGAACAAAGTAGAGAATACGAAATTACGTAAGACTTCTAAATGAATACAAGAATTATAAGCAATTAGAGAAATAGACAAACAAAAAAATTAAGTCATCAAAAACCAAAAAAGTTGTTACCATGACAGTAGAAGTGGTTGAGTAATTCTCTTTTGTATGCACAGCTCCGGTTTTTCTATGTGAATGACCAGAGCTTCAGAGATACAAAGAAGACGAAACCGTATTGCCTTTGGTAGGTTATTCTTGGCTCTGCAGATCACTTTGAAGGAGGCGTTTGTTGAGATGAAATGATCAGTGTTAACCAGGTGTTCAATTATCGCACTCCTTCTTGCACCACTATTGCCTTTTCACAACTATGCTGGATAGTGTTCTTGAATCCTCTTGGACAGGGTGGGCATTGAACGACCGATGTACCTGGCTCTTCAGCAGCAGGTGAACTGATATATACACACAGAAGTGGTCAGATGCGGTATCTTGTCCTCGAGGCTTCTGCAGATCAGTGGGCGACTGGAGAACACTATTCTTAGCGTTTAATTGAATTTTAGATTTTCCCGTCGATTGATTGGACCGAAGTGCTCGGTCTCAGGTGGTCTAGTGGATAAGGCTTTGGCGTTTGAAACTATGGGCACTGGGTTTGAGTCTCGGTGGGAACATCACCACTCACTGGGAAATGCAGGTACATCCAGATGACGAGTCCCAAATAGGACGAAATGCGCATCCTGGATTCCACTGCTAGTCACCATTCACAAATTAAATTCTTAGTGTTGCTGTGAAGAATCTTCTCTTGAGAATATCGCTTGTTAAATCTCCCTTGAAATCCAAGTTCATGTAGGGTTTCTTTTTAGGCGCAAGTGAAGTTTCATTTTTCCAAATTCTTGGTTTGATATTTTTGTCAATGAATCTTAGTGGGTATCCATTTTGGATGAAGATTTCTCTCAAAATATATAATTCTGTTTCTAGAACATCGGTACTACAGATTTAATTAAATTCCGCTATTGTTGAATGGGTACCCCAGCTATAGAAGCTTGTTAGTTGACCATTTCAAGTAGCTTTTCTATGGATCGATCTTCTTAGACTCCCATCGGTTCTTGTTAGTTCCACATCAGGAAACGGAATTTTTGATTCGTTTTCCATTTCGAGAGTGAATTTTATTGCTGGATGGCAACAGTCAAATGTCTTCAGCAGTAGATTGGGGTCATTGTTGTTGTCACAAATGATGAATATGTCGTCTATGTATCTTTTATACAGTCGTAAATTGTCAATGCTCGGCTTTAGTAGACCTTTCTCGAGGCTTGCCACGAAGCAATCTGATAGTAGTAGACCCAACGGAGATCCCATTGCAATACCATCTTTTTGTCGATAGATGGTGTCGTTGAAAGTGAACTGGACGTTCAGAGTGCATCTCAGTAGTAATTCCTTCAAATATGTTGTTGGTATTCCAATATTGAGATGGTTCTCATCTATATATTTACATATAAAGCAGACCGTTTCCGTGAGTGGGACATTGGTGAAAAGTGACTCAATGTCGAAGGACAGCATAATTTTGTTAGATACATTCAGGTCTTGTATGCAGTCGATGAACTGGAAGGTGTCACGGAGCGAGTGCGTACATAATTGTTTCCTTGCAGGTTCCAGAATATCTGCAAGCCATTTTGCAATAGAGTGGTAAGGGGAACCTGACATATCCAGAATTGGACGAAGTGGGGGAGACCAACCTTGTGTACCTTTGGTAGACCATAAAGTCTTGGTATTATTGAACCTGTTGGCCGGATCTGGTCATAGATATCGCCACTGATTAGTTGATTGGCCTTCATTCTCTTCAAGACGTCTGTGAGCTGCTTCTCAATCTGTTCCGTTTTGTTTCTTTCATTGGAAGGTTGGGAAAATTTATCTTCATTCGACAGTATATTGTTCATTTTCTCGATGTAGTCTTTTCGATCCAGAAGGACTACACCGGCACCTTTGTCGGGACGAGTTATTAGCAGATCTTTGTTATCTCTCAACTGTTTTAATTCTTCTCAGTGCCGCTTTGTTAGGTGGTTGCGGCCTTTCGATTTTGTATTCAAGTATTGGTGGCAGCAGTCGATGATTGTTGACTTGAATCTCTGTAACTCGTCTTCAGAAGTTGGGATGAGATCGTTCGTCTGGCTGATTAGATTTTCAAACTGAACCATAATCCGCATCCAAGCTTGCTGTGTGGAATGCGAAGGTTGGTTTTTTCGAGGATTGCGTCGCTAAACATCAGTATCCAAAGTGGTTCTGGAAAGCACTGCAACGCAATCGTATATATCCAAATACGAAGTCCCTTCGACTTCATGCAGTGAATTGTGCTGATTCTTTCGAATCACGTATGCCCAAACTGCAACGGAATATTAATCAAAGGTCCTCTGCTGTATACGAATTAACTCCGGACGAATGTCAAAGATTCATCGAATATATCAACTTGCAAAAAAACGGTCGCAGTCTGCCGTAACCCAGCTCAACAACAGCCTCGAGCAGATGAAACCTCACGGCAAATTTCCTGACGAACCCACAAAATTTCTGTTCAATTATTCCTCAGAGCCCTTAACCGACGTGCAACTGGAAGTCCTTTCTCTGGGCTCAAAATTATGCGATATCAGTTTCAACGCCGACAAACTTCATACTCATGTCCAGTTTGAAAATCTGATCAGCCAGACGAACGATCTCATCCCAACTTCTGAAGACGAGTTACAGAGATTCAAGTCAACAATCATCGACTGCTGCCACCAATACTTGAATACAAAATCGAAAGCCCGCAACCACCTAACAAAGCGGCACTGAGAAGAATTAAAACAGTTGAGAGATAACAAAGATCTGCTAATAACTCGTCCCGACAAAGGTGCCGGTGTAGTCCTTCTGGATCGAAAAGACTACATTGAGAAAATGAACAATATACTGTCGAATGAAGATAAATTTTCCCAACCTTCCAATGAAAGAAACAAAACGGAACAGATTGAGAAGCAGCTCACAGACATCTTGAAGAGAATGAAGGCCAATCAACTAATCAGTGGCGATATCTATGACCAGATCCGGCCAACAGGTTCAATAATACCAAGACTTTATGGTCTACCAAAGGTACACAAGGTTGGTCTCCCCCACTTCGTCCAATTCTGGATATGTCAGGTTCCCCTTACCACTCTATTGCAAAATGGCTTGCAGATATTCTGGAACCTGCAAGGAAGCAATTATGTACGCACTCGCTCCGTGACACCTTCCAGTTCATCGACTGCATACAAGACCTGAATGTATCTAACAAAACTATGCTGTCCTTCAACATTGAGTCACTTTTCACCAATGTCCCACTCACGGAAACGGTCTGCTTTATATGTAAATATATAGATGAGAACCATCTCAATATTGGAATACCAACAACATATTTGAAGGAATTACTACTGAGATGCACTCTGAACGTACAGTTCACTTTCAACGACACCATCTATAGACAAAAAGATGGTATTGCAATGGGATCTCCGTTGGGTCCACTACTATCAGATTGCTTCGTGGCAAGCCTCGAGAAAGGTCCACTAAAGCCGAGCATTGACAATTTACGACTGTATAAAAGATACGTAGATGACATATTCATTATTTGTGACAACAACAATGACCCCAATCTACTGCTGAAGACATTTGACTGTTGCCATCCAGCAATAAAATTCACTCTCGAAATGGAAAACGAATCAAAAATTCCGTTTCCTGATGTGGAACTAACAAGAACCGATGGGAGTCTAAGAAGATCGATCCATAGAAAAGCTACTTGAAATGGTCAACTAACAAGCTTCTATAGCTGGGGTACCCATTCAACAATAGCGGAATTTAATTAAATCTGTAGTACCGATGTTCTAGAAACAGAATTATATATTTTGAGAGAAATCTTCATCCAAAATGGATACCCACTAAGATTCATTGACAAAAATATCAAACCAAGAATTTGGAAAAATGAAACTTCACTTGCGCCTAAAAAGAAACCCTACATGAACTTGGATTTCAAGGGAGATTTAACAAGCGATATTCTCAAGAGAAGATTCTTCACAGCAACACTAAGAATTTAATTTGTGAATGGTGACTAGCAGTGGAATCCAGGATGCGCATTTCGTCCTATTTGGGACTCGTCATCTGGATGTACCTGCATTTCCCAGTGAGTGGTGATGTTCCCACCGAGACTCAAACCCAGTGCCCATAGTTTCAAACGCCAAAGCCTTATCCACTAGACCACCTGAGACCGAGCACTTCGGTCCAATCAATCGACGGGAAAATCTAAAATTCAATTAAACGCTAAGAATAGTGTTCTCCAGTCGCCCACTGATCTGCAGAAGCCTCGAGGACAAGATACCGCATCTGACCACTTCTGTGTGTATATATCAGTTCACCTGCTGCTGAAGAGCCAGGTACATCGGTCGTTCAATGCGCACCCTGTCCAAGAGGATTCAAGAACACTATCCAGCATAGTTGTGAAAAGGCAATAGTGGTGCAAGAAGGAGTGCGATAATTGAACACCTGGTTAACACTGATCATTTCATCTCAACAAACGCCTCCTTCAAAGTGATCTGCAGAGCCAAGAATAACCTACCAAAGGCAATACGGTTTCGTCTTCTTTGTATCACTGAAGCTCTGGTCATTCACATAGAAAAACCGGAGCTGTGCATACAAAAGAGAATTACTCAACCACTTCTACTGTCATGGTAACAACTTTTTTGGTTTTTGATGACTTAATTTTTTTGTTTGTCTATTTCTCTAATTGCTTATAATTCTTGTATTCATTTAGAAGTCTTACGTAATTTCGTATTCTCTACTTTGTTCCTATGTATATCCTGAGTAAAACTCAATCATCAAACTATTCATATTATTACATAACTTCTTTTTAACAACTGTTTGTGACAACTCATCACCTTTGTTACTACCCTGGTTCCATTAACACCCAATTTTCCTGACTGATTTTATATTACGTAAGTCCAATTACCAATCTTCACCTGTTTAGTTAAAATAACCATAACCAATTGTATTTTTTTGACAAACTTAATGTACACATACATACAAAATAACACATATATATTTGCGGTTATACAGCTAAGAAAATGAATTCGCCGAAAAGAGAGACTCTTCGGTGAACTACATGTTTTGTTTTCATTAATTCCTGGATGAGGATCATCTATCATTTTAAATTATCTTCTTCAAGGTTTAGTTCATGGGAATTTGTTAGTCTAGGATTTGAATGGCTCTTAAGGGGATTGAATACCATAGGTAAACATTCAGACAATTCATAAGTAGGTGAATTTCTAAAATCAACTATAGGTTTAGTAGGTTATCGTGAGCCGCGAACTTAAACAGCATACATCCTACTGTAGTTATTAGCTTTCGGTATTAAATGAAACCACTTGAACTCACTTAGAAACGGCTTTATTCGGTGTATAAGGTTTGCTTTGGATTTCTTTACCTTATTCACAACGGTGTCTATCGATTTCTTAATTTCTTCATATGGTCTCGTTTGTGTGTGGATGTTCACCTTATCCAAATAGTCTGGTTTGTCTAATGTTGCTTTTGCATTTGCTTTATCTGATTTAGTGATTACTATGTTGTTGTCATTCTTGAGGTGTTTTAATTTGTCTATCTCTGGTTTCGTCAGGCTAGGCTTTGCTCAGTTGGTCGTTTTAAAGTCAGTGCACATTGTGGTTGTACTTCATTGGCCGTTGTTTTGTCTGTCCCACGTAGTTTTATTTCTGTTTTAGGGATGACATTCTCAGATTTCAGCTTGTCTGCTGCCACATACAACCATACACTAGGATGGGATAAGATGACAGTTTTAAAATCTAATGTAACAGGGTGGGGATAGAGATTGATGATAAAAGCCTTATTTATCGGAGCAACTGAAAACACACAGGTGTAATAGGAATGATTCAACACCTGTCCCAGATATCTGGAAAATTCTACTACCTCTACGACAAGTAGGAAAGGATAAAGAAGACTCTAAAACGAAAGTTTTGAAGTTGTGTGATTATAATTTATATGATTATGAACAATAAATTGTGTTCGAAACGTCATCCAGTAAATAATACTGTTTTACTGTGTGATATATCTAATAAACAAATTAATGTGGAATCGTACATCTTCTTATTTTTTATTGGTATTATTTCATCATTAGCTCTTTATATCTTCTTATTGTATTCATATTAGGCAATTTACCTAACTGATATGCAGAAACCAACTCCGCTGATACGTTAATAGTGTCTGTCTGAGTAATTGCATTAAACACAGAGATGTTGTGTTCTTAACTGATTAAAACTTCTTGTTTTTTATAGATTTCACGTGATGAAAAATTCGCTCGACAGTTGCAAGCTCAGTATTCAAGGATGTTGGATAAACCGATAAAGCAAACGCGTTCACGATGCAGAAAATGAATTCCTATTCTTGCAGTTTATTATTGATCAATTTTACAAGTTGCGAATATACATTTTGTAAAAGATTGAACCATGGTCTCATCATCGTATAAGTAGTTATTGGGACACACTGAGGCTGCGTTAAAAACATGCGATAAATTCACAAGTACTTAAAATGTACACAACGTTATTAACATTATTGTTTAAATCGCAGTCCAAGGAATTTCCTACTTACAGCTTTAAATAAACAGAACTTATTTGATGAAATCTTTTGTGATTGTACAATCAGATAGTCGGCGTACACTGCAATGTATCCCGGAATGTAGAATATATCTGATGAGACAAAATTGAGTTTTTTTGTAGTCTGTTAACGACCGTCACATAAAGTCATGTGCGACTTATCCGTTGTAGCTTTCAGTTTGAGTACAAACCCTACTGAACATTTGAGGGGAATCCTGAGGACTTAGTTCGTAAGAAACTGCTCCTATCATCTGATTTAATTCTCCATGAAACGCTGATCACACTTTCTGAATGATTTATTTCTTTGTAAAAAAAAAGGTAGTGACCATAATTTCTAGTGCATAACTGGAAAACATGAAGATAATCAATATTACCTGTCTTACACTTTATACCGAATAATATAGTTTTTATACATATAGATAGAGAAGTACAAATATAACCACCGGAACCAAACTAACTGTGATTTATGTTTTAACATACTAGTGTATGGAATATGGATAAGGTTGATTGGAGGGCAAATGAAGTCCTCTCTAAATAAAATCGAAATGAAGAAATCAATGAGGAAACAATATTTGCGCATAATGGAAACACTTCGTAAGCAGTATAACTGCGGAATAAGTTCGTTTCTGTAAGCTTTCTTCAAAACCTCACCAAGTACACAATGATTCTTATGTCCGCTTACACCTAATTTGTCGAAGGTTATGACCGACTGAGACCTGAACTCGCAGCATGTTTTGCAAATGATGTCAGTTAGTTCTTTTTCTGACCACGATGAAGCAGGTCCATCCTTAAGTCCTTCTGAATCAATGACTGATAAACGTCGTATTCCCAATTTCCTTGCGGCACCGTTCAATTCAAGCTTTCTGACGTCACCAAGTCCATTGTAGTTTCCAGTTGTGACGCACAACAAATCGACATGGTATCCTGTATATATCAGGTTGAGTATAGTGGGTGCAAAAAACATAGATTCGTCATCTGGATGTGCGACAACAACGAGAACTGGATGCTTCATTTTGATTGTTTTGCGGCCAGCGACAACAATGAAACATATCCATAATATGAATATTAGTATGTTATATCCAATAACTGGAAAATAAAAGAGATAATAACAAAACATTCAATGAAGAGAAAAAGATAATAATCAACCACTGCCGAAAACTTTATTAGTGTTGACAAGAAACCAATACCATATGCATGTAGTTGGTAAGGAAACAAACCTATAGCGTGAGGTATTGATACTACCTCGTTGACCAAACCTTAGTAAGCGGACTGGGGTTCAAGCCCATGATGCAATTCCACCCATAGTTTATTGCCACATTCTGCGCATATGAAATGTTTCTCAAAAACTGTGAAGTTCATATACTACTCTTCTCCATGGCAGTTCCACTGCAATCCAGTGATATTTGGAAGATAATACCTACCGACTTTGATAGCTATTTGCTACTAGTATGCTTTCAGTGGTCAGGACCCCATAATGGAAAGCGTGCCAACGTAAAATACTCTAGCTCCTTCCTTATTATGCATTCGGTATTTTATGTGCATCAAGATCAGTGTATGCTTGTAGTAGACAGTTGGGTAAGTTGTATGCATTCCATAGTTTTACTGCGGCTTCCTAAATAATACAAACATTTTGAGCAATCGATCCTAATGTCTAATCGAGTGACGATGCTAACCACTACCGCCGCAATCATTTTTATTTCACACCCTGATTGTTGAGAACTGTAAAAGACATCATCACACTGGTGTTTTCCAATATGTGGTTTAGCATAGTTAAGCAGTTTGTATGGGTGACGGAATAGGCAAATTGAAAATTAACTGTTATATTTGAGAAGTAGAAAGTTTCGGAAAATGTGTTAAGCATTGATGAAAATTAAAAAAAGGTAGAAATACACCTGAGATGACGTCTTAAAATAACTAAACAAAATTCTAAAGTATGGAGTTGTGGTTTGCTGTGTAATTACCACTTAAGAGTCTCCATGATGCTAACCCAGAAAGTTACTGGCTTCCGCAGTGTAATATGCAGAAGAATTTAGATACTCGGGTTTGAGATATTATGAATCAATAGTTGGAAACTTTCGTGATGGTCTGTAATTAATTACAGTTACACGGGTGTTTACTCTTTATTGTTATCAAAGTGGCAGAAATCCTCAATAATTTTCAATTAATTAGGCTTTGAAACTCTTGCTTTCTCTTTAGCCTGCTGTTCTGAATAGTGACAACTGGAAACTGTGTATTCCTTCAATAAACATATTACAGTAGATTTGAGCGCAGTGGTGCTAAAGTACATAGACTATATATCATTTTAGTACATATGATACACTTACTAGTAATAATCCACATCTATCAAGTCTGCAGTTTGTCTTTTAATGGAAAATAAAAGTTGTTAACAGCTGCCCAGAGGATACTGGCTTGGGACCCCAGCGAGTATCTAAATATAACCACACACAAAAACAATTAATTCCCAAATACTCAGATGCATTTGCTTTTAAACATCGCGATAAATTATCTTGAGACTTCCTAGATTTCTTATCTCTGTGTGGTTTAGCTTCAGTAGTAACAATCCAGCAGTAATAATTTATACCGTCTTGTGAGATTGTTCTTTTGGGTAGATTATTCAATTGCGTTTTATTATGTCGTATTCGCATGGGTAATAAAGAAATTTAGACTACAATTTAGGACTAAGATTCTTTCGAATTCTGAGAACAAATTTCGCAACAGAAGTAAGGATTCACAAATATATGTATTTATTCATGTCACCCAGCAATAATTCAAACAAAAGAATTCTGGCGAGCCATCTTACCTAGTTCAAACAATCAAGTACAACTTAGTACTGCTGAACAATACTATCTGGTAAAATTTGCACAGAGGCTGAAAGACAATGGAAAATCGTGACGTTATACTTATGGTTTTTCAGTTTTCTACATTGTAAGTATAAAATAAGACCGGTGGTCACAAAGTACTCAACAAACGGTTTTTAAATACTCTCTACTAGGAAAACTACAGTTCACTGATCTAAGCGGTCGGCTTCCAACCAGTACGTAACACGTTCAAACTACGCTCACTTGACGATGTTTGGGTAATCATATAGTATCACCAGCGCCCACACAATAGGTGTAACTCATTACCAAATGCATGGAATTGCAGTCGGTTTTTGAGTAACATTACAGTGAGTAAGCCACTTCACAAATGTTAGTCAATTTCCTGCAGTCCATATAGTAGTATCACAAATACTTCAGTCACATTTTGGAAAAACGTTTGTGGATTTTTAATATGAATGAAACTACTCACAATTTTCCGCACTTTTAAAACAAGAGTTCATGGCTTTCCAATGCAACAAGTGCTAAAATACAGACTACCTAGTGGAAGAAAATGAAACTTGGAAATATAATATTGCCTCATAATTTGAAGCATTGAGTAGTCTCGTGAGGTATCTTAACTTAACAAACGGGAACAACAGACAATAAGTAGGAAGTTCTTTTAGACACCATATATATATATATATATATATATACAGATACACAGGAGTTTGTAAGGTAATGTTTCCTACACTTGTATGATTTATACTTGCTGTTTTATATTAAGGGGACGGTCTCTAACCTTGTGTCAAATTGACAAATATTATTTGTTCGGATCAGAGGCTTTTGTGCAGATCCGGATTTACTGACTGGGGATATAAAGGCATGAAACCTATCCCAGTCCATTTGTAATAAGTTTTTTAGTTCAGTACAACTTATAGAATACGGATTGACTGGTCTGCTGTACAGTCAAACCTTTGACCTATCCTTTAAGCTATGAATGGTCATGCCAGTTACCGTTGTTGGGAATAGCTCAGCCAAGATTGGTTTGACTAAACTGAGGTCTTGTTCAAACTTATCTTTGGGGTCTGAAGCCATAGATTCTTCCACTTTATGGAGGATGAGCGACATATCAGAGAGATCATTTAGCTTAAACTGGCCTTATGGCTAAGAGGTAATGGTGTCTTCCCGTTCTTCATGGACAATATTCCTCTATAGTGACTCGCGTTTCGCGAGTGACTACATAACACCATTTCACTGGCATCTTCCTTGCCATATAACTGTGACTAATTATCCACTTGCACCATGGGAGAGGCTAAACATACCCGTTCAGTGGCATCTCCTACTGTGGGTTTACGACTATTACTTACGCCCTTTCATTTAGGCAGCACTAGGTGAGTTGGTGTTACAGCCTCCCGGCACTGTGCCGTTAAAGATACCTAAAAGCTTATCGGGGACAGAAAGAATAACGTCAGTGTCTCAGTCACGGTTGATGTTACTCTACGACGAATAACCGTCACTTACAACGATGCATCAAGTATACGTATACGGCGTTAACTGCGTCACCGGTGTCCGAGCAGTGTTTCTCTTCTATGGAGAAGGGTGTTTGCAATACAGAAGCTTCCATGCCTAGTTGAGCATAGTAATGTCTTCTTTTTTTTCCTGTTGCGCGTGCTTCGAAAAGGAGAGTAGCATTTTTACGTTAAGAAGTAACTTCTGCTTTTGTTGTGTAAATCGCATCAGAAGCTTTTTGGTTTACTTTAACTGGTTTAATTAGTTGAAGTAGTGTTTATTTTTGTGCACTTTTGTGACTCTTTGTGTTATTTTTATATCTCTGTATTTAGGTATATATATACATATTTGTGTGTAACTTAAACAGCTTATACTGACATGAGTCCCACAAATAGTTGTGGACGACCGGACCGCCACCTTCCGGTGGAGGATGGGATGCAGTGTGATAACTGCAACCTATGGTTCCACAAAGTCTGCACTGGCTTATCACCATCAGCCTATAGGAGAAGCAGCAAGCCATCATCTCCGTGGATGTGCAAATTTTGTACAAACCCGTAGGACTTCTCATGTCCAAGAAGTTACCAAAAACCTCTGATGAGGGGAAAAATGCAGCATCTAGTACAGATGTTATAAGCGAGGATTCTGGCCTTAGTCATAAGACTGAGACGAGAACCACATTCCCTAGCTTCGAAAGAAGCAACAGAGGTGAAGTGTGCCCAGCAGTCTGCAATAGCACGCAAAAAGCCCCGAAAACCTAGGAGGGCAAACAGTGCCAACACTGTAAGACAGCAGGGTGATACCACAGCGATAAAGCGCTGCGTGTCTGGTGAACGCACAGCTTCCAACTGCGGCGAGAGTAAAATGGAACCATCTGATTCCACCTGGCTAGTGCCGAAGAGTAGGAAGCTCAAGAATCATAGGAAAGAGAAAAGTACTGTGGTTAGTGATAAGGTCTCAACGGCCGTAAACACTGATAAGATTAAACCTTCGGACTCAAATTACAGTATAGTAATTTGGAACTTGGAGGAATCGAAGAAGGTAGATCCAGCTGCTCGACATGCTGACGATCTCGAAATAGTTACCTCCATCATCCGTGAAATACTTCCGGAAAAAACAAATGGTGTTCACATAAGGAAAGTCATCAGAATCGGTAAACGAATCGCCGATGCAACGGAAAGTTCCCCACGACTGCTGAAGATAGTACCGGGGAACGAGGTGGAGAAAACTATTATTCTCAACAACGCATTCAAGATCAAGAATAAAAAAATGAGAATTAGGCCAGACAGGCCTTTGGAAGATAGAATTAGGAGAAGAGAAGCTGTGGCTGAATTAAAGGCCCGATTAGAAGGTGAAAAAGACCTCAAACTGTTGGGTTTTCGGGTAGTGAGGTCTCGGAAACCTCTGTTCATAAGTCGAGTAAACACATAGGTCTCTCAGTATGCTACACGAACGCTTGTAGTCTTAGGAATAAGCTTCCCGAACTAGGAGTGTTGACTGAGGAACTACAGCCGGATGTGATTGCTATCACATGGGACTTAACTATCACATAGACTTAACTCCACTCATACCTGGGTACATCTGCATTAGAGCAGACAGAGTAAGTAGTCGGAAAGTGGGGGGGGGTCGCTCTATACATTCGAGATGACATAGGAATTAGGTCGACGTTGTCGGAAGCTCATGACAGTGGTACCTGTGAAGCCGCGGGTTGTCATTAACGTGAACAAAGGCACTGTGACGATAGGGGTTATTTATAGAAGTCCTACCAGCCAAGCTGAAAATTTTGTTATAAATCACCTCAGGACGTGGAGTAGGAAGAATAGGTGTCTAATAGTAGGTGATTTTAATGCCCCGTATATTAATTGGGAGGAATTAACATCAGCTACTTCGTACAATTGTTTCAATAGGGAACTAATACTGGCAGTACTTGAATGCGCACTTGTGCAGCGTATGGATGCACCAACACGATACCATCCTGAACATGATCCGTCCACTCTAGACTTGGTGCTAACACACCAGAGGGAGGATTTCGGTAACATTAGGTGCCTGGCGCCGCTAGGTAGTAGTGACCACATAGTTATTACTTTTATGTTCAGGATCCAGGCCGTCACACATAGGTCAACAGCCACTCGCCCAAACGTTTGGAAAGCGAATATACATGCAATCCGAAATGCAGCAACCCTAGCTGACTGGTCTGTTAACACACACCAGACTGTCGAGGAGGCTTGGATGGGATTTAGGAATACACTAGAGTGCGTCACTGCACCCTTTGTACCTTGGTCTACGCCTCGAAAATTATCTCGTAAACCACTTTGGATTAGCAATGAAGTAAGGTTACTAAGAATACGAAAGAACTTATGGGACCGGTTTGCTGTGACTGGGAGGGATGAGTTTCGGGTAGAATACCGCAAAGTTCGAAACTTTTGCAAGTATGAGATTGACAAAAGTCGTATAGAGTATGAGAGACAGTTAGTACTGGATTGTGTGCATTATCCAAAAAAGACTGTTCTCGTATATCAAACGCAGGACTAAAACTAGTAGTGGCATACCGTCCCTCATTAGCAACACAGGAGAGGCTGCAGAATCAGACGAAACAAAAGCTGAGGAGCTCTCCGAATATTTCTGTGATGTTTTCTCGCCTAATCGTACCACCCAGGGGTGTAGCGAGGTAACTGATGTAGCCCCGAAAATGCCCCCAATTGTGGTAGATGATGCAATGGTTCTGAAACTACTGTCTAAGTTGCAGCCAGGTAAATCACCTGGACCAGACGGACTTCACCCTAGGTTGCTAATCTCCCTGGCGGATATAATATGCATTCCACTTACAGAGATTTTCCAGATATCTCTGACCCAGGCTAGGCTACGCAGAGACTGGAAAGATGCTTTTATAAGCCCCATCTTCGAAGATGGGAACAGGCAGTTAGTATCTAACTACCGGCCAGTAAGACTGACCTGCATTATGGCAAATGTGTTAGAAAAACTCATAAGGGACCAGCTCTTAGCTCATATGGAAAAACATGGCTTACTGGCAGTGGAACAGCATGGATTCCGACCAGGACGATCCTGCTTGACAAACTTACTGTTAGCTAGGGAAGATTGGGTTGAGGCCAGGGATAAAAACCATCTACTGGACGTTGTATTTATCGATCTTAGTAAAGCATTCGATAAGGTATCCCACTTAGGTCTTCTTAGTAAACTTAAACATTTTGGATTAGACCAACGCTTATACGAGTGGTTTGGTGACTACTTGATGGATAAGGGGCAGAAGGTAATGGTTAATGGTGTACTGTCAGGGTGGAAGGCAGTACTAAGTGGAGTACCTCAGGGAACTGCACTTGGCCCCC